TGATTCATTTAAACATATAGTCATTAAACTACTCTAGCATAGGTCCAGTACTAGGCATTGGGAATAAAACAAATAAAATATCTGCCTTCTTGAAATTTATGGTCTTAAGATAAGGTATAAAATACATATTTTTTATTTTTTACCAATATTGAATGAGTTGTTTCGGAAAGTCCTTTGTGCAATGCCTTGCAAAGAATAATCACTCCATGAATTTTTTTTTTTAACCAAGCAAAATGTCTTTAACACTCTTATTTAATATTTTTAAAAGCAGTAGAATGCCTGAGATTTTGCATATTTTCTGTAATATATATTAATTTTTTTTATTTTACCTAAGTCAAAGGAGATATTTAATTATTTATCCACGTTTTATGTAAATACACCTATTTCACCAGAGGCACAAAATGGTTTGAGTGATGGACCACGCTCAGAATACCTTCAGTTGGGTAACTCTGTTAGGTACTGAGGATACAAGAAAGGAATGACAAACACCCTGTCTGAGGCAATTCTAGAAGGGAGCTAGAAAAAGGCTTTCATTACAGCGTAATAAATCCGATGATAGAAGACGGTGGAGAGTCCTACAAGAACTGAGAGGAAAGGGGTATCTCATGTGGCCTAGGGAGGAGTTACAGAGGGACATAAGGAAAGGCTTCTAGGGGAGACGGCACCTTTTCAAGGATTGGTAAAAATGGTGAATTAAGAAGTAGGGTGTTCCAGACCGAAAAAAATGAAACAGAAAAACAAAAAACCTGTACAATAGCAAGAGATAGCCTGGTGTTGATACTGTAACTAACATATTCAGAGCACCAGAAGTGTGGGTCTCAAGGAGGGAAAAGGTCAGATCTGAAACCATAGAGACATCAGTTACATCTTAAAGGATCTTGGATGCTACACAACACGTTTTGGGTTTTGTCTTGAAGACAAAGGAAAAGCACTGGGAATTTAAGAGGAGATTGAAATGATCAGATTTGTATTTTACAGAATTTATTTCTGCTGTTAATACATATAATGGTACATTGATTTTTCTTTCTTCCTACTGCCCCTCGATGTGGTTTTGGAGTTAGTTCAAATCCTGTGCATGACGCGGGGCAATTTACGTAAGATTTTTGAGCTTCAGTTTTCCCTTACAGGGGAGAGGAAGCTAATAATACATAGGTACTCTGCAAACAGTAGCTATTATGTGCCTCAGTACTCTCAGTTCGACTCTTTCTTGCCCGTTGCTTTTCTTCCTCCTGGTTCCCCCACTCATAAATTTCTATTTCTTGGTCATTTCTTGATTAATTTTTAACATTTAATTTGTCTTTGGTTTTTATCAATTATAGCAATTATTTGGACTTGTGAAACTTTGTTTGAACTTTACTTCTCCACTTCTTTCTAGTAGCCTATACCAACTTTGATCTCTTAGGAGAAAAATAAGTTACCAGGGGACACTTCGGCTAAAGCTTATAGCCTGCTTGAAATTAATAAAATTTCCTTTACTCTGGGGATAATGTATATTTCATACTGCTATAGAGTAGGAATGTAATTTTTAATATATACAATTTTATATAAAAAGCCTCTTTTAGGAATTACAGGCACACTTTGATTTTTATTAACTTACATAAGACCTTATGATAAATTAGGAGTGAGACAGAATAAAGTAAAATAATTTAACTTTAAATTCTACAACATCCAGTTCCGTGGACCTCCAAATTTAGAACTTAAAAACGGTAAGTTGAACCATGTTAGTCTGTTAAGATAGTTGATAATATGTATAGATTACTTGAAGCTCCTTGAATAAGACTAAATTTGAGGTGCTATTACTGGTGGTGCAGTGGTTAAGAGCTAGAGCTGCTAACCAAAAGGTCGGTAGTTCAGATCCGCCAGCTGCTCCTTGGAAACCCTACCGGGGCGGTTCTGCTCTGTCCTAGAGGGTCGCTATGAGTCGGAACCGACTTGACGGCAGCGGGTTTTTTTTGTTGTTGTCGCTGTTATTATTGTTCAAGGAGCCCTGATGGCGCAGTGGTTAAAGTGATCGGCTGCTAATCAAAAAAAGTCAGCAGTTTGAACCCACCAGCAGCTCCACAGGGGAAAGATGTGGCAGTCTGTTTCCGTAAAGATTTACAGCCTTGGAAACCCTTCGGGGCAGCTCTGCTTTTCCTATAGGTTCGCTATGAGTCGGAATTGACTCATCGGCAGTGGGTTTGCTTTGGTTTTGGTTTATTATTGTTTAATCAGCTCTAGAGATCCACATTCTGATTTGGGAACCACAGATGTCAGCTTTTTCCCAAGCTTATCTCCATCTCATTCCTATTGGGACTTCATTCCTGTCACCGCATCTTCAAATCACTGTGTCTGCATAGATTAGCGTTCCTCTTTCAACTGTCCTGGTGCTCTCCGTATTTGGTTCCCAGCTCAGACTGCTTCTAGGACTCCTATATGCACTACCTGTCTCTCTGCGTTGCAGACAGTCTGTGCCTCAAACTTCCGTAAGACTGCCAGGAATGAGACACATACACTCACTGGCATCAGCCATTCTGTGGGTGCTACTCTGGTGATCGAGCTGGGTGATAGAGCTGGACACATGAGACACTTACACAGTGTTGGCAAAATGAAAGCCATTATTATTATTTTTAGCAAGCAAACAGTAAACTATAACAATGGGTTCCCACAGGGGAAACGATTACCCTTCCCCAAATTACTCATGTCCATTCTTATGCTGCCGGGCAGGCCTGCCATTGTTCAGGTCAGATACTGTGTTCTCATCACCGCTGCCTCCAGCTGTCACCACACTTCTCTGGGGGGCCTCCATGGCTCCCGAAGCTTCTGCTCTGCCGCTGGGCCTCACTGGCCTCTGCTGCCAGCTCCCACCTCGCTACCCAAGCCTGCGGAGCTCTCTTGCCTCCATGCTACCTGGGCCCCTACTGCCTGGTTGAGGGGAGGGAGGCCTGCAGCTCCTGTACTGGGCACACTCAGGCCTCTCTCGCCCTGTTCAAGCAAGTGTTATGGCTCTTTAAGCTCTGCTGGCAAGTCTCCTGCCCAGAGGCATCTTGCTCACCCTGCTGTAGGAAAACCCCTGCACAGGATCCCCCTAGGCAAACCCTGTGCTGGGTATACTCAGGCCTCTGCCCTACAGAGGCAAGTACTACAGCTTTTTTAGCTCCACTGGCAAGCCTCTTGCCCGAAGGTGCTCAGCTCTAGCTCTGCCCACTGCTGCTGTATCTTACTGTCTGGCACTGTCTTCAGTGTTACAGCTTTCTCTTCTGGGTCTAGGAGGTTCTCAGCACAGAAACCTTGGGCCCAAAGGAAGAACTCAGATCCAGACTCTTCTAGATGGTAGTGATGTTCCCCTTAACCTCTGTGGGATTAGGCCTTACCTGATTACCTGAGCCTACTTCTTGTCAATTTCAAGGCTTGGCCCTCCCACCAGGACCACGAACTGACCAATCCCCTTGGTGGGCCACAGTCACTCAATCTGCATCATAATTGACCATTCCCTTTCAAGACTGTGTCCCAACCAATCATTTGTGGGTGTCACAAGACCATGACTAGAAAGGCCCTATAAAAGCAATTTACTGCCCACAATCGCTCATACCAAACTCTCCAGACTTTTCCTGATGAAATGAAGAAATTCTTTCTAGCATGCTTGTTTACTGTTGAACTGTAGGATTTCTACAATGATGGATAGTTTATAGGCAAAATTGTCAAAAGACAAAACACTAGGCTAGATGTGTGAGGGAAACAGGCATAGATGAGACATAAAAATGCATTTGTATCTACAACTACCATTTATTGTGTATCTCTAATCCTCACAGTAGCCTAAGGACATAGGTAGTGCTATCCGCATTTTACAGGTGAAGAATATGGAGGTCAGAGAGTTATATGTCCAAAGTCCCACATGTATTGGAGCTTGGAATATAGCTTGGAATATAATGTCAGATCTGCGTCTCTACAAATTCTGTCAGCTTTTCACCACAACACAATGCCTTTTCAACACATACTCTCTGTATTCAAGCTATTTATAGCATAGCAGAATAGGTAAGATGTAAACAAATAGCTTTCTTGCAATTAAATCTCCCTCTAAACTGTACTTCCTACTCCCAGTTTTTTTAGTTTGTCTGTGATACTATAATTTCAACAGTTGTTCTAACTCTTCCCTACTCCAGGCATTCTTGATTTCTCTCCTTCATGCTTCTGAATTTTTAATTAGTGATGGGCCCTTCTGGCTTCTCCCTTCATAACTTCACTAACATCTCTTCTTTACTTTCTACCTGAACTAGACCCTCTTCTCCTCACTGCTGGATTGTATCTTCTCTGCTCTTTTGTCTACAGTTCTCCATGTCTTCAAATTGGCAATGCACAACTAATCATATTGAGCTTCTGCTTTTGCTAGTCATTTTCTTTCTCAGGACCTCTGTCATTTTAAATAACTGGACCCAGCCTTCTTTCTTGTCTCTTGTCTCATAAAGTCAAATATGAATTTTACACTACATCCAGATGAATCCAATCTTTCTTATTGGAACTTATCTTTTTTGTCCCTGCCCCAAATCCACCAATGATAACTCAGATCTCATTTCATCCAGGTGTTCCTTAACTATTCCAGCCTCTGCAGCTTAAAGTGATCTTTAATTCCTCTAATAGTGTGTCTGAATTTGGTTCAGGCCCCACACTGCCTACCATGGGCTTATACACTGCCTGGCATGGCAATACGAGGGTAGGGAAATAGAGTAGAATTAAAAAAATGAGATGTGTGATGGAAAGACAACCCCTCATCTTCTCTCATACCCTCTTCCACTCCTGCTAAGGCCACTGGGTTTTAAGTGGTGGTGATCTATTTGCCCTTGCCCAACTCTGGTATCACTTCACATAGTTTTACATATTCTTTCTGAAATAAGAATGCAATGTAGGTTTTACCTTTGTTTTAGTATAATTTTCTTTATATATTACCTGAATGCTCTAACTTATTAATTTTGGGCATTTTTTATATTCACGATGTGAGCCCACCAGTCATTTTTTTTTAGTAGGATCATGACAGGCAGAAGCAAGGAAAAATCACCATAGAAGAATTTAGAGCAATCTATCGAATTATTGCACACAGAGAAGAAGTTATTGAGATTTTCAACACATATTCTCCAAACCGGAAAATTCTTTTTGAAACAAATCTGGTTGATTTTCTAAGGCAAGAGCAGTATGTCATCGAGATGACTAAAACTATTGCTTATGAGATCATTCAAAGATATGAACCCATTGAAGAAGGTATGCTTGCATTTCAAAGTTTTATCAGAATAGTTATGTGCAAAGTATCATTTTTTGTGAATTAAGGTTATCAAATTTAATTTTTGGATGGGTCAAATTTCTTAAAAATATCAAATAGGTGAGGTTTTATTTTTGTAGTTTACAGATTGTATATATACCTTTTAGAAAGCTACATTATGTAACCATGGCATTCTTTCCTATTGTATTGTGCAGCTCCTTTCTTTGACTGCTTTTGCATATTTATCAAGTGTTCAGAAATGAGCTCAGGCTTCAAAGCAGGATTAGAACCCATTTACACGTGCTTTAATAGAAGAAAGTGTCTTGATCTCATGGAAAGGATTGAAGCCAAGTTATAGGCAGTCTTCCATTTTTATGCATTATGTTATTGAAAATACATATGTAAATTAAATGTAATAAATGAAAACAATTAATAGGAAAGACAATGCTACAAATAATTAATTTCTCCTCAGTTTATAGATGTAATTGTCTACAATATTTTATAAGTATTTAAGAATTTTTGCCTTTCTTTCATTTGTGGACACCCCATTGCTTGGTTTAAATTTAAAAGACCATTTAGACTAATGATCTGTTATACAACTTTTTACCTTTGTCCCATCTTTTACTGAATAGAAACTTCTCATATTTTTCATTTTGCTTATTTTAAATAAAGTAATAAAGACATAATACAATTAAATCGTCACATAACTGCACAAAAAACATTGTTAAATCACAATGTTTAACAACACTGAAATTAACAGAAGGAATAATACAAAATATTTCATTAACAAGTGAGGTTTATGGCTGTCAAAGTTTAACCTATGATAATATGGGTTCTAACAGAATCAAACTTATTCTTTCGTTTAATCATGCATTTATAATTCACTCAAATATTTATTTGTGACACTTAAGTACTGTTCTAGAGGCTGGGAAATATAGTGAAGGCAAGGAAGACCAGGTCTTATATTCTTAATGGGGGTTAGAGGGAGATAGACAGTAAGTAATTAAACACATAAAGAGATAATTTCAGACAGTGCTAACTGTTGTGAGAAAAAATAAAATAAAACAGAGAAAGTGATAGAGAGTAATCAACCTGGGGGATCTAGCTTAGTCAGGTGTCAGAAGAGTCCTCTCTGAGGGTGTGACATTTGAGCTGAGGCCTAAATCACTTAAATTTGACTAAATGAGAGGAAAGTCCAAGGTCAAGGAAAGAGAAATGATACTGAGTTAGAGAATTCAAGGAACAGAAAGAGGAAGGGGTGGTTAAAACTTGGAGGATGAGGAGCTGATGAGTTTGGAGAGATAGACAGGCCCAGATCATCTAGGATATTGTAGACACCATTAAGATTTTTGGCTTCATGACTAAGTACTGTGTAAAGACTCTTGAGGGTTTAAAGCGTTATAGTGATAGACTGCTTGCTATCCCAAGTTTGGTCGGAGCACCATTAAACTTTAGCAGGTTTGCAACAAGATAAAAAGCTTGCACCAGAGCGTAAAACAAGTGTGTCACTAAGCGCAGCTGATGAGCTGAGCAGACATCCTTTTCTTTCTGTTTTCGTAGCAAGACTTTCTCTAAGGAAATAGTGAATTGATTTATGTTTTGGCTCAAGCTCTTTATCTCATTGCAGACTAGGAAAAAAATAGCTTACAGATGAGCACTTTAAGTAGCAGTGATCAAGTGAATATTAAAAAAAAAAAAAAAGCTGTGGCACTGTTACCTGCAGATGGTAAATTAAATGGTACAAAGAGATAATGGGAATGTGGCAGTGATACCTTGGAGTGATGTTTGCATTGTAATGACTATATTACACTGTTCATGCATTTCATCTTTGGAGCCTTCACCTGCCTCACATACTCTCATACACAGTCAAGACCTTACATTTTATTTGCGTGATTATTGCTTATTTTAGAGTCTTATTAAGGTCAAGTTGAATTACAATTTTATAGTCTCAAACGCTGCCAAGCTCCTCAGTCTCTTCCCACACTGGTATTTCTGACGTGGCCAAACAAGGTTTTTAAAAGTCCATTACCGAATGAGATTAATCATCATTTCAAATCTGGTAGCGTCTAAGGGCACAAAATGAGTTTGTTTTCTATTCCATTACCAAAGGTATTTACTTAATTGTTCAATAGCTTGAAAGGGTTATAAGCCAACCACTGCTAATTGCAACGGGGCAAAGAATAAACTCATGAAAATCATTACTGTTACAATTCATGATGCATTTGCTCCATACATTCCCATATTCCTAAATTTGCATGGCTTTCAAATAGAGCATTTGCTTGCCTATAAACATTTTATTTATTTTCTTTTAAATTTTATTTTCTAAAAACAAAATTGTAATAGCATTTTGAAAGCTGAATTTTCACTTTTATAAACATTTACTTACTTTTCTTGGGATACATTATTTTTAATACCTACATAGTATTGCTTCATATTTGTTAGCTTTATTTTTTTCCTTCCCCCATCTATTTTTCTTTACAAATAATGCTAGTGTGAGCATTCATGCACACCTATCTTTGTATGAGTCTCTTCTTCTATAGAATAAGTTCCTTGAAGTAAGCTTCCTTGCCTAGACTTGCTCTCTAATCTAAAGTGAATCCTCACACCAGCTTTTCTTTTGTACTAACTGAATCATCATCATCATCAACAACAATTAGTATTTATATATTGCCTATAATACTAATTGTTTTTCACAGAAAGTCTGATGTAATCCTCACAATATAGGGGTAGGTGCTCTGATTATCCCCATTCCAAAGATGAGGACAGGTTAACTAACATGTTCAAGCCCATATAACAAGTAAATGGATTTGAATCCAGGCAGATGCCAGGGCCAATTTCTGCTTAAATTTATAGCTTTGTTATATATTACACTGAGTAAAAAAGTACAGACATAATTTACAAAAGCTGAACATACACAAGTTCTATTCCTAGGCATACACCCAACAGAAATGTGAACCGTATTTTGACACCAATTACGCACACATTATATGTTTGTTTGCCAACCTCTCCCTCCAACCACGAGGTATATTCATAGGCACTACAATGCTCATTTTTATTTTACATGTTGCTGTAAAAAAATTCGCATAGCACACTTACGAAAATAACTCACAGCGGGAGGGAGCTGGTGGACAAACAAACGTAGGTGTACATTATTTGCATAAAAGTATGGAACCTATTTGCACCAAAAGACATGTACTGCTTATATATTTGCAATAGCCCCAAACTGGACATTATCTAAATGGTCATCAAGAATAGAATGGATAAATAAATCATGGAATATTCACATGCTGGAATACTATACAGCAATGAGAAGGAAGAATGTATAACTACATGCAACAGCATGAATGAATCTTAGACAAATAATATTGAGCAAAAGAAACCAGACATGAAGACTACATATTGTATAGGTTTTTTTATATACAGTACAAAAACCAGACAAAATTAATCTATGCTGTTAGAAGCCAGAGAAGTGGATACACTTGGGAGGGGGCTGGTGTCTGGAAAGTTAGCAGGAGGCAGGCTTCTGGGAAGCTGTAATAATGTTCTGTTCTTTGTCCTCAGTGTTCATTGCCCAGGTGTTTATCTTGTGAAACTTCACATATAAATTTTTTGTGTATTTTTTAATGCATGAAAAAGTCAGAGATAATTAAATGATGTATTTTTTCTTCAGTGTTGATATGAAAACTAAGAGTATTCACTAGAAAAACTTGTTTCTAAAGAAATATTAGAAATAGTGTTACTATTAATTCCAAATAGCTATTTTAGTATATTCTACTACTGAATAAATTTATAAGTGAGATGCAGTTTTTATACTACTAATGGTATTTCTGCATCCTTTTTACTTTTTTTTTAATAGTTAAGAAACAACACCAGATGTCAGTTGAAGGTTTTACAAGATACATGGATTCATCTGAATGTTCAGTGTTTAAAAATGAATATAAATATGTTTATCAAGATATGAATCATCCATTATGTGATTATTTTATCTCAACTTCACATAATACATACCTGATATCTGATCAATTAGTGGGACGAAGTGACCTTTGGGGATATATAAGGTATTTATCTTTATTTTTAATTGTATTATGATTTAAAACCCTTGGAAACTCCTGGTGGTGTCTACTTTAATAGGCAAGAGTGCACAGTCAGAGCAGGTTATGCAAGTTCCCCAGACATGAAGGGAAGGTGCATTTTGGTTTGTCCATACCTTGGAGATCCAACCTTTGGATAGTGACAGCATACTTTATTTTATGTATTAGTATCAAACACATTCCTTCCAATCCTACCTGCTGACCTCCTTTCTCTCATTATGGCCCCTCTGAAGTTTCCTGAATAATTTGAATACGTCTTACAGAAAAAGATGTTAAGAAGAATTACCTTATTTAGCAAATCAAAATATCCTGGATTTCAACAAATATGGTTAAAGCTAATTCCCAGACATCCTGGGCACAATGCCATCAGTAAAGCCAAAGAATAAATACAGTACATAGTATAATTTGGCATTAGTAAATAGTGATTTATATGTAAAATATGATTTATATAGATTAAAAATAATCCACGCCTGCATCCCCAATTTTACATTCTATAATGTGTCGGACAGTTAATACTGAGCTTCAGTTTAGTCGGTCTGAATGCTGAGGCTACAGTGGTGAACAGCATTAGCGAAGCTGCTACATTCATCTACATGCAAACAACAACAACCACAAAAAACCCAAACCCACTGCCGGTGAGTCAATTCCGACTCACAGCCACCCTGTAGGACCATAGGAGAGTAGAACTGCCCTAAAGGTTTCCAAGGCAGGCAGACTGCCTCATCTTTCTCCCTTGGCACAGCTGGTGGGTTCAAACTGCTAACCTTTTGGTTAGCAGCCAGGCACTTAACCACTGCACCTACAAGTTAATGTGAATAGATAGATACACAGGTATAGAAATAAATATTTTCAGAGACTGATAACTCAACTGGGGAAATTAAACTAGGGTAACATGGTAGAAAGTGACTGTGGGTGAGTGTGTTACTTTAGTGAAAGTGTCAGGAAAAGCCTCTCTTAAGAGGTGACATAGTTGTGACCTGAGTGAGGATAAGTAGGAAACCTTGGAAACTTCTCGTAAGAAGACAGGTTAAGAGAAAAAAATAACAAGTGCTTGGCATATCTGAGTGAAAGACAATAAGTGTAGCTGGAAACAAATAAATGGAAAGACACAAGTAAATGAAGGGGAGTTTGAGGAGTTAAGCAGTGTCAGTTTATGAGGGTCTGTTTGACAGTTCGAATCCATCCAGAGACACCTTGGAAGAAAGGCCTGATGATCTCCTTAGGAGAGTGTTATAATTCGATTTACTGTTTACTGTGGAGGAAAGACTGATGGGGCAAGACTGGAGGTGGAAGAGGATTTGTAGCAGTCCAGGTGACAATGACAAATTTGACTCATGAGGCAGCAGTTGAGATGATAAGTGGCTGAACTGGGGATAATTTGAGGAGGTAGAGCCAACAGGACTAAGTTAATTTGAAGCGAGGTGTGAGGTAAAGAAGATTTTTGGTCTGAATATCTAACGTACAAGGAGCCCTGGTGGTACAATGAGTAAGTGCCCAACTGCTAACCAAAAAGTCAGAGGTTCAAACCCACCAGCTGCTCCACAGGAGAGAAGATCTGGAGAGCTGCTCCTGTAAAGACTTCTGCCTAGAAAACCCTATGGGACAGTTCTAATCTGTCCCATAGGGTTGTTATGAGTCAGAATAGACTCGATGGCACACAAGGTCACCATCAACAACCTAACGTATGGCGATAACTGTTGACTGAGATCGTGAAGCATGAGAGGAGCCCGTTGTAGGGTGTGAGGCAAGATCAAGACTTCTGTGTTTCTCATGTTGAGCTTGAGATACCAATTAGTTATAACAGGGTCAATTAGTTACCAAAGGTCAAGTAGTCACTTGAGTATCTGTGTCTGGAAAGACGGGAAAAATAGAATTCAAATTCATCAGCATAAATCGTATGTGATATTTAAAGCCATGTGATTGGATGATGTTACTTAAAGAAACGTTATAAATAGAAAATAAATCCTGTAATTCCATGGTAATAACAAACATACAGATAACTATTGTTTCTTCTCCAGTTTAAATTTTAAGTAAATACATAAATCCACAAGCTCAGAAATTCAACCATTTAGAATTTGATAAAGATAGCAAAATTTATAGCCATAATTTAATTGCATAAATTTATATTCATACTTTATTATTTTAATTTTTTTAAATACAGAAAACATAAATTTACAACAGGCTTATTTAGAACTACAAAAATATTAATTCTAAATTCCAAGGAAATACTCCACTCAACTGCAAATTTCAATTTCAATTTAATTGTTTTTCTTCTCCCATTTCTTTAATTCATCTGAGTAGGAAACAATCTTAAAATGTGAGTCTTTTAAAATTACTCTGCTCGTGAAAAGTGGTATAATATAATGCTTAGGCACTTGGTCTTTGACACTCATTCTCCTCCTTTTTGCTCACTTGTTGATTAGGTGACATATAAGACGACTTTGTGTCTTAATTTTCTTATTTCTTAAAAAGGAAAATTAACATCACCTGCCCTATACATAAGGTTAAATATTTTAATCCATGAAAAGCCTCTCAAGGTTATTATTATTGCCAGATAAAATCCAACTTCAACCAGAAAAAAAAGTTACTATTATTAAAAATTATCATGTTTTATACTTTGATAGTTTATAGGAAGAATTTGTGGGAGAAGGTAACCATAAATAGATGAAAGAAAGTTAATAGTAAAAATTTCCTACATACAAAGTCCTACAAAATTTCTAGAACAGAGCCAGAAGTTCATCCTCAAGTTTTCTAACAGCCAAAGTCAAGAGAGACAGAGGGTTAGTTTTAAGATTTACAGTGCTCATATAAAACAAAACAGCTGCTCAGAAGAAGTGGAGCGTTTTTTACCTGAGTGAGAACTTTCCTCTATTCAGTGTGAAGGAGAATGGCATCAACCCACCGCCAGAGGAGACTCACTGTCTCTTATATCTCTCTGCTTGTAGGTGATTTGCATAATGACACAGTGCAATCCACTTAGAACGTTTTTGCTAGGACTAAACCATAATGTGAATATGCAGTTTGTAAAGTTTATAAAGATTGGCTTGATCTTTTAAGGATAAATCAAACTGTCTACAGAAGTAACAAGAATCAGTATTTAGTATTTTTTTTTGAGCAGAGAGTTCAAGATTATTCTCTGACGGCACCCTAAAATATCGATATTGTATATTGGTGATAAGACATTCTTTGACAATCAACTAAAAGTAGGGTGAAATAAACATCTTTGCACGGCAATGAACAAACTTTGCAGCTAAACATTGACTCTCCTTCCATTTAAAATCTAAATAAGTAAATAAATCTATTCATAAGCTGTGAAATACACAGAAGTATGAGAAATAGAAGAGTGCATTAGGTCCATTACTCCAACACAAACACAAGTAGACAGCAAAGCTCTCAAGTTTTATATATACTGTAAAACAGTGCATGACTACAATGCCTGAGTAAAGCAGTGTGCACTTAAAAATACAAAAATGGTCTTAACAAAAGAAAAATAGATAAAAAACCCAAAAACAATCAATGAATCATATACTTTTGTACTATGTATTGTCTTGGTGAAGAATCCAGGATAGATGAGATTCACCAATTCCCTTCCCTCTAATTGCTGTCTCCTCAGACTCCTTCCATCTTTCATCTGTATTCTTCCCAAGGGAACATAAGATCCCCCTTTTCTGAATTCATCACCTCAACTTGATGTCATAATTATCTTTCCGAAGCAACACTCCCTGCCTGAATACTGCCTTAGTCATTTCTTTAGGAAGTTGACTAAATACAATCCTCAAAGTTATACTGAATCTAAGGGCTCCATTTTTCCATATGGTCTATTTCGTACTTCTGTGCCTCTGATTCTATAGCAAGTGCTTGGTTCTGGGACCACACCCTTTTCTCTAGGTTGTCATGGCCTAGAGAATATTTCTTAAATTCTTGACATTTTGAACAGATGATTCGTCTTTGTGCATTGTAGAATATTTAGCAGCATCCCTGGCCTCTACCCACTATATGCCAGTAGCAAATCTCCTGGTTAGGAGAACAAAAAATGTCTTCAGACATTATCAAATGGCCCTTGGGAAACAAAATTGCCCTAAATGAGAACCATTGGCCTAGGGATAGTGGACTATTTCAGTATGCCTCTTGGAAACCAGGTGTTGAATGGTTTTCTATGGGGAAATATCTCTACGTATAATAAGGGCTTCTTTATCTTCATCCTTAATATATGAAAGGAGACCTGGTGGTGCATAGGTAAAAACACTTGGCTGCTAACCAAGAGGCTGGTGGTTTGAACCACCCATCGGCTCCGAGGGAGAAAGACCTGGCAATCGGCTTCAATAAAGATTGCAGCCGAGAAAACCCTGTGGAGCAGTTCCACTCTGTTACATGGGGTTGCTGTGAACTGAAATAGACTTGACAGCACCCAACAACAACAACAATATATGAGCATCAATTCTAAGATCCTGGTGTCTAAAGTCAGTCTTCTTTTGATTCAGTTTTATTTCTTCCAAGTTTGAACTTTAGCATGATCATCTCTGTCTACCTGCTACTTTTCTTCTTATATCCATATAATTCTCAGTTTTTCTTTTTCTAATATAAACACAATAAATATTTTTTGAGAATCAAGTATATGTGAAACACTATTTGTGAGACTGAGATTTCAGTTCCCGGTCTTGTAGAATTTAGAGCATAAAGAATAACTAGATGTTTCAGGATTCACAGTCCACAGCACTAAACATTGCACCATCTTGAAAGTACTGCACTGTGACAAGCACACATTAGCTCTCTGTAAGGCTTTGTTTACACAAAATAAGAAGAAAGGTATGTTCAGTTCAATATATCGTGTGTGTGTGTGTGTGTGTGTGTACCAAACAAACCAAACCCATTGCCCCTGAGTCAATTGTGACTCATAGCGTCCCTATAGGACAGGGTAGAGCTGCTCCATAGAGTTTCCAAGGAGCGGCTGGTAGATTTGAACTGCCAACCTTTTGGTCAGCAGCTGTAGCTCTTAACCACTGTGCCACCAGGACTCCATATATATATATAAACAAAGACATTCATCTTACTACTATTTATATATTTTCATGAGTCAATAAAACCGTTTCTATAAATCAATAAATTTTAGTGAATTCTTGATAACCCATTTCATGAAGGCACACAACTGATCTGCTCTGGGTTATCTGTGAAGATTCTGAAACATCTTTGTGTATATTCACTATTGTGAAGTCAGTGAGAAATCTGAATCCAGTAAGCTCTGATTGATACAATTTAAGCAATGTAAGTGTAAGTGTTAATAAGACATGTTTTTCATAGCTCTCTTGTAGTAAGGACACTGAAAATTCAGTTAAAACCGACCAGTCTAAGTAAGAATTTGTGCCTAGGTCAAGACCCCGAGACAGGTGGAAAAATCAAGTCCAATTTTAGATATTAGCAAAAGTGGAACATATCTTTCTTTCAGTTCTGATAAAGCTGTCAACTTACTGCATTCTGAGACAGTCAGTTCCAACTTTTTTCCCAGTGAAATTGAGTCAAACAGACATAAATTAGCAGTTATTCAGGCTACATGTGCATAGATGGGCTCTACTTGGATTAAAATTAGAGATTCGTTTTTACTTTAAATTAGAATTAGAGAAAGCTTTGCATAAAATGGGGCCCTGCCTAGTGGTTGAGAGCTCGACTGCTAACCAAAAGGTTGGCAGTTTGAATCCACCAGCTGCTCCTGGAAGCCCTGTGGGGCAGTTCTCCTCTGTCCTATAGAATTACTATGAGTCAGAATGGACTCCACAGCAATGGGTTTGGTTTTTGGTTGGTTTACATAAAATGGTTAAGTAGACTATGTTTATTTCCTGAACCATCAGACCCTCTATTTAACTTCCACCCATTCCATCTGACATTTTCTCCAGGGAGCAAGTATTGGAGTGATTTTTCTGTTTTAAATTTTTTTCCTTTCCCATCAGATGTTCTACCCCTCCAAAACCTATATGACAAAAGAATAAGATAAAAATTTGTTAAGATACTTTATTATTCTGAGAAAACTTTGAGAGTTGCTTCGTTTTAGTGGTATTGCATTTAACACACAGCAATATCACTTGGGTGGAGAGTAAGGATGGTTTGAAGCTCCACATATGGAGGCAGGCATCTTCTTTGATTACCTATAAACTAAGCCCTGAGTGGAGAGCAGTAAAGAACAGAATACGTGACTAGACAAGAGTAGGTACCATTTTTCACTTTACAGGTGGTTTGCTCTTCCTTTCTTCCTTTGTAATATTGTGAATTTCTAGAAACACAAAATTTGTCTTTATTATGGATTTATTTAGGAATTTATTGAAAAATCACAAATAGTCTTTGAAATATTTTGACACTACAGTACACATTTCTAATGACCTAGGAGTGACACTTTATTTTGGTTGACTTTTCCTAGTGCCCTTGTGAAAGGATGCCGTTGTCTGGAAATTGACTGCTGGGATGGATCACAAAATGAGCCTATTGTATACCACGGTTATACACTTACCAGCAAGATTCTATTTAAAACTGTTATCCAAGTGATACACAAATATGCATTTATGGTAAGTGCATAGCTCTGTTAAATTGTAGTTATTTAAACAGCATCGGTCATAGCTCCTTTAAAATCCTATAATGACTGGCTTTAGTTTAGATCAGTTGGTATTTCTAATTGTGGGTCGTGACCCATTTGTAGGTAGTGAAATCAGTGTTGTGTGTACATGTTGTTCCATGGAGCTTTTTGTTTGTGTGTATATATTCTTTATTATGAGTTATGATTTTAAAAAAATCTGAAAAATACTGGTCTAGATAATAGTGAATATTTTTATCAATACTCAACTATTTCACTTTCAAGACATAAAAAGAAAATATGTCAATAATAAATAAACGTACATGTGTACTTAAAAAATAGAATTTAGAATCTTACTCTTTGACAACTTGCTTTTCTTCATAAGACTATACCATAGACAACTTTCTAGAGCAGTATTGATAGCTCTACCTCTTTTGTAATGGATTTATACTATTCCTTTATATGGATATGCCATCATTCATTTAAACAGTAGCCACTGCTGACTACTGCAGTTCTTTCCTATTCGTCTAGTACAAATAGTAATAATTTTCCTTTTAATACAGATTTAATGATCCCTGCTTTGTCAAACTCAAAAGTATTTGCAGTTTAAACAATCCTTATTTATTTTGTGAAGATATTCACCATTAGAAGTAAGTTTTAAAGTAAATTAAGTGCTTATATTAGTTGCAATAAAATTATATAGAAGTTCTGATCAATAACCTTAGTAATGATTAATTTTTTAGACCTCTGACTACCCAGTGGTGCTCTCTTTAGAAAATCACTGCTCGCCTGCCCAACAAGAAGTGATGGCAGATAACCTGCAGGCAATTTTGGGAGATACACTGCTTTCTGATATGCTTGATGATTTTCCAGACAAACTACCATCACCAGAGGTAACATTCTGTCTGAGAAGCTCAATTTAAGAAAAAAATGTCACTGTTATCTTGGCCCATGAAACTGGGTTAGAGATGTATGAAGATACTTAGCACTGATTATTTATGGAGATATATGTTGCAATGTGTTGCCTAGGAAATACTCCTAAGAGCATTTAAGTGAATATATTTGGTAAAGAAAAAAAAAAGCCCCTACACTTCTGTCAGTTTGTCATACTTTGGGGGCTTGTGTGTTGCTGTGATGTGGGAAGCTATGCCATGGGTATTCTAATACCAGCAGGGTCACCCATGGTGAACAGGTTTCCGCTGAATTTCCAGATTAAGATAGACTAGGAAAAAGGACCTGGAGGTCTACTTTTGAAAAAAAATTAACCAGTGAAAACCTTATGAATATCAGCAGAACGTTGTCTGATATCGTGCCAGAAGAGAAACCCCTCAGGTTGGAAGGCACCCAAAAGTCAACTGGAGAAAAGCTGACTCCACTCTGAGTAATGAAAGGGATGGAGTCAAGCTTTTGGGACCTTCATTTGCTGAGATGGCACGACTCAAAATGAAAAAAACAGCTGCAAACATCCATTAATAACAGGAATATGCAATGTATGAAGTATGAATCCAGAAAAACTGGCAACAGTAAAAAATGAAATGGACCTCATGGAGATCAATATCCTAGGCATTAGTGTGCTGAAATGGACTAGTATAGGCCATTTTGAATTAGACCATCATGTGGTCTACTATGACAACTTGAAGAGGAATGGTATTGCATTCATTGTCAAAAAGAATGTTTCAAGATCTATCTTGAAGTACAGTGCTGTCCGTGATTTGATAAAATCCCTATGCCTACAAGTAAAACCAGTTAATACGACTATTATTCAAATTTACACACCAACCACTAAGGCTAACGATGAAGGAATTGAAGATTTTTACCAACTTCTGCAGTCTGAAATTGATTGAACACGCAATCAGGATTCATTGATAATTACTAGTGATTGGAATTCGAAAGATTGAAACAAAGAAGAAGGATCAGTACTTGGAAAATATAGCCCTGGTGATAGAAACGATGCTGGAGATGGCATGAAAGAATTTTGCAAGACCAATGAACTCTTCTTCGCAAATAACTTTTTTCAACAACATACACAGCAGCTATTCATGTGGACCTTGCCAGATGGAATACACAGGAATCAAATCAACTACATCTGTGCAAAGAGATGGTGGAAAAGCTCAATATCATCAGTCAGAACAAGGCCAGGGGCTGGCTGAAGAATAGACCATCAATTGTTCATATGCAAGTTCAAGTTGAAGCTGAAGAAAGTTAGAGAAGTCCACGAGAGCCAAAGTATGACCTTGAGTATATCCCGTCTGAATTTAGACAGCATCTCAAGAATAGATTCGACACAGTGAACACTAATGACTGAAGACCAGATGAGTTTTGGAATGACATCAAGGGCATCATACATGAAGAAAGCAAGAGGTCATTAAAAAGACAGGAAAGAAAGAAAAGACTAAAATGGATGTCAGAAGAGACTCTGAAACTTACTCTTGAACATAGACTAGCTAAAGCGAATGGAAGAAATGATGAAGTCAAAGAGCTGAACAGAAGATTTCAAAGGGCGTCTGGAGAAGACAAAGTAAAGTATTATAATGACATGTACAAAGATCTGGAGTTAGAAAACCAATGGAGAAGGACACGCTCGGCATTTCTTAAGCTGAAACAGCTGAAGAAAAAATTCAAACCTCAAATTGCAATAGTGAAGGAGTCTATGGACAAAATATTAAACGACACAGGAAGCATCAAAAGAAGATGGAAGGAATACACAGTTACTGTACCAAAAAGAACTGGTCAACATTCAACCATTTCGGGAGGTAGCATATGATCAAGAACTGATGGTACTGAAGGAAGAAGTCCCAGCTGCACTGAAGACATTGGCTAAAAACAAGTGTCCAGGAATTGACGGAATATCAATTGAGATGTTTCAACAAATGGATGCAGCTCTAGAAGTGCTCACTCATCTATGCCAAGAAATTTGGAAGACAGCTACCTGGCCAGCTGACAGGAAAAGATCCATACTTATACCTATTCCAAAGAAAAGTCATCCAACCAAATGCGGGAATTATTGAACAATATCATTACTATCACACACAAGTAAAATTTGCTGAAGATCATTTAAAAGTGTCTGCAGAAATACATCAACAGGGAACTGCCAGAAATTCAAGCTAGATTCAGAAGGGGATGAGGAACGAGGGATATCATTGCTAATATCAGATGGTTCCTGGCTGAAAGCAGAGAATACCAGAAATCTGTGTTTTATTAACTATGCAAAGGCATTTGACTGTGTGGATCATAACAAATGCTAGATAACACTGTGAAGAATGGGAATTTCCAGAACACTTAATTGTTCTCATGAGGAACCCGTACATAGATCAAGAGGCAGTCGTTCAAACAGACCAAGAGGATACTGTGTGGTTTAAAATCAGGAAAGGTGTGCGTCAGGGTTGTATCCTTCACATACTTATTCAATCTATATGCTAGGCCAATTGTCTGAGAAGCTGGACCTTAGGAAGAAGAATGTGGCATCAGGATTGGAGGAGGAAGACTTATTAACAACCTGTGTTATGCAGATGACACAACCTTGCTTGCTGGAAGTGAAGAGAACTTGAAGCACTTACTGATGAAGATGAAAGACTAAAGACTTCAGTATGGATTACACCTCAACATGAAGAAAACAAAAATCCTCACAACCGGACCAATAAGCAACATCATGATAAAAGGGGAAAAGATTGAAGTTGTAGAGGATTTCATTTTACTTGGATCTGTAATCAATACTCATGGAAGCAGCAGTCAAGAATGTAAATGACTCGTTGCATTGGGCAAATTTGCTGCGAAAGACCTCTTTAAAATGTTAAAAAGCAAAGATGTCCTTTGAGGACTAACAACAATAACATTTGGTAAAGGGAGTCTCTGGGTAGGGCAAACGGTTAATGCAATCAGCTGCTAACTATTGGAGGTGGTAAATTCTAGTCCACCCAGAGGTACCTCGGAAGAAAGCTCTGGTGATCTAGTTCTAAAAAATCAGCCATTGAAAACCCTGAGGAGCACAGTTCTACTCTGACACACGTGGGATTGCCATGACTCAAAATCAACTCTACAGAAACAGGTTTTTTTTATTTGGTAAAGAGCCTATTTAGAGATATATTCAAAACCCTATATTTTTATTGTGCATTGTACCTTATGTGTCCAAAATCTCAAGCCAATTAATAATAGGCCATAGGAATTTGGCCTAATGTTTCATAAACATTATGTTTCATACACAAAAGGCTAAGAAAGAGGCCAAAGATCTATGTTGTAAATGGACTAGAGTCCATACCCACTTCCTCACCACCTAGGTGGAAGATTCTCTTTTTCCCTTGTGACTTTTTTTTTCGATTTCCTTGTTTCTGTTGGTCTCTTTCTCTCTTCACTGAGCACGCTAAAGTATTTGATTTAAAAACATGCTCCGTGCTTACCCTCAGGTTTTCACTACCAGCGACCTATTTATTTTATTCTTCCTTCTAAAAGCCTAAATTTCCATTTCTTCATCTCCTCACAACCTATCCAGTCAGGCTTCCTCTTCTTCCTGCCCTACAGTAAATACTCTCATTGTGGTCATCCAAGACTTTTGTATGGACAAATCCTGATGGACCTATTTCAGTCTTCACATGATCTTTCCCTCAGCAACATTCAATACTTTGGACCTATACTTCCTTTCCTTGGAAACACTTCCTTCTAGAACCACATTCCTTAGGTGTTTCTCATTCATCTCTGGCCACTCCTTAGTCTCCTTTGTTGGCCCATTCTCCCTTACTTCAAATTTTATCAGAGGATAAATGAACATTTTGAGCTTTTGCAGGACAGTATTATCTAACAACTAATAGTTTAGGTTTGACATGTCCTCATTTTGGTAAGCTAGAAGTATGTTTGTAAGGTTTGAATCTTTTTCATATTTTTCTTTATTATTTTATAGAAATGAGTGATAAATGTAAAAATGAAAGTATTGTGACATTAGGAACAAGAAGTATAGGACTCATGACATAATTGAGACAGACAAATATAGATTATTAGATAAATGGAAAAATTGTGATTTCTTTCACCTTGTAAGAATGTTCACAGTCCATATGTATTCATTTATGACAGAAAAGAAATATTACAGTACTGTGCAAAATGCTCGAAACATATCATCAAAGATTAAATCTAGGAGTCATGGTCTAATCTGAGAAATTATAATAATTTTTAGCTTCCTGGGAATAGGATCTCTCCTCCTCTTGTGTATTAATCTACTATTAGCATTCATATATTTAACTTTGGTTGAAGTTTTCAACAAAGTAGAGATAGACTCACCTTCAAATACTACACTCAGTCATCAGTGTGGGAAGAAATTGCCTGGAGACTTGTTAAGGTGGTATATTTCCAGCCCCACAACTCAAGATTCTGATTCTCTAATTTTGAAGTAGATCTTAGGCATCTGTCCCTTTAACAAGCACCCCAGGTGATACTTTTGATGCCTGTGGTTGCAGAGTGCACTTTGGAAAATTCCCTGTTGGAGAGTAACAGAGGTCATGGCGAATGAGAGAAGGCCTAGATGATGGAGTAATTCAAGTGGATACCTGAGGGAGACAAGAGGAAGGGACAATCAAAGCTCCTTGAAAAAAGGAATTTTGCGTCATAATCCAGATTTCAGCATTGTAGCATAGCAGCCACTGCATATTTGTTAAATTAATGAATTTTTGAAAAGGGAAGGCATAACTAAGTGAAAGAAGGGAACCAGAGGGCATTGGATTTAGAATGAGTGATACTGATGGTAAATTTTGTTATCCTCCTAGTTTAGTTTGATAAGAAATATTGTTAATGATGCTTGTATGTAATACAGTTGAAATTGGAAGGGGCTTTACAAATCTCTAAGTTAAATTTAGTCTAAACTAGATGCCAGACAGCATGATAGACATTTTTTACAAAGCTGATCCCATTTTTGGAGCCCTGGTGGTGCCGTGTTTAAGATCTTGGCTGCTAACCAAAAGGTCGGCAGTTTGAATCCACCAGCCGCTCCTTGGAAACCCTGCAGGGCAGTTCTACTCTGTCCTATAAGGGTTGCTATGATTTGGAATCGACTCTCCTGCAAAGGGGCTGTTTTTTTTTTCAATCTCATTTTAATACTTAAAAAATATATTTTATTGTATTTTTGGTGAAAATATACACAGCAAAACCTGCTACCATTCAACAATTTCTACACATAATGTTCAGTGATATTGGTTATATCCTTCGTATTGTGTCAACATTCTCATTATTTCTGTTCTCGTTGTTTCACTTCCATAAACTTAGTCTCACTGCCCCTTAAAATTCTCATCTATGCTCTAGAGTAACTGTTGTCCATTTGGACTCATAGAGATAATTTTTTAAAAAGCACAGTATTCAAGGGTGAAATTCTTTACTTTCTGAACTAACCTCATATTTAGTTAAAAGCTGACTTCAGGGGATAGTTTCACTTCAAGGTTTAAAGAGTGTATCAGGGTAATAGTCTTGGGGATTCCTCCAGTCTCAATGGGTTCAGTAAGCCTGGATTCTTTAATAATTTGAAGTTCTGTCCCACTTTTTTTCCCTTTCTATCAGGATTCATCTATTGTGTCCATGATCAGAATGTTCTGTAGTGGTAGTTTGGTAGATGGTACTGGGCACCATCTAGTTCTTTTGGTCTCAAGGTAGAGGAAACAGTGGTTCATGGAGACAATTAGTCTTGTAGTCCATTTCCTTCTCTGATTCTTGGGTTTCCTTCTTTCTTTTTTGTGCCAGACGAATAGAGGCCAGTAGTTGTATCTTAGATGGCCATTTGTAAGTTTTTAAGACCGCATACACTTACTAAACTAGACGGTAGAGCATAAACTTTAAAAACTATATTATTCCAGTTGACTGAATTGTCCCACCAGACCATGGCCTTGTCTTCAGATGAAGAAAATTAGTCATGTGAGGTGACTGGTTATGTCTAAGAAGTGTCAGCATCTGTAGCCCCTATTCGTTTTATTATACATGTATACATGTATTGGTTGTTGTTATTGCTGCAAAATTATATATAACATAGCATTTACCGATTTATCCTTTTTCTTGTGTTCAACTTATTGGCGTCAACTATATTAGTCAATCTGTGCAAACTTCACCCACATTTGGTGTCACCTTTCCCCTCACCATAAATGAAAAGTGATTACTACCTAGAGAGCATCCAGCTTCTCTCTCCCTCCCACCTCTGGTAACTACCAATGAGCATGGTCTCTGAATATTTACCTATTCTTGTCATTTCATAAAAGTGAGATCGTATAATATTTGTCCTTTTGTGATTGACTTATTTTGTTCAACATAATGTCCTCTGGGTTCATCCACATTGCAAGATGATTCAGGAACTCATTTTCCTTTATGACTGAGTAGTATTCCATAGTATGCATGTACTACATTTTGGTTTTCCATTTATAAATTGATAAGCACTTAGGTTGTTTCCATCTTTTTGCTATTGTGAATAGTGCAGCAATGGACATAGGGGTGCATATGTCTGTTTGTGTCCTTCTATTAGATCCCTAGGGAATATACCTGGGAATGGAATTGCTGGGACATATGATAATTCTATTTTTAATATTCTGAGTAAATGCCATACTGTTTTCTATGGTAGTTGTACCATTTTACATTCCCACCAGCAGTGGATAAGGGTTCCAATCTCCCCACATCCTCTTCAACATTTGTTGTTTTCTGTTTTTTTTTTCATCAGTGCCATTTTAGTAGGGGTGAGATGGTATCTCGTTGTTGCTTTGATTTCCGTCTCTCTAATGGCTAATAACAAAGAGCATCTTCTCATGTGTTTGTTGGCTGCTTGAATATTCTCTTTGGTGAAGGTCTGTTCATGTGCTTTGCCCAGTTTTTGACTGGGTTACTTATCTTGTTGTTGCTAAGTTGTTCATTTAATACTTTTTAATGTTGGATAAGAGAATGACGACCTGAAGCTAGTACCAGAAGTTGTAAAATCTAACTTCAATAACATAGCAGGTATTTTAACACATGCTTACTTTTCATGGGTTTCAATTATATATTTAGTGGACATTGTGGAATGTAAAAGAAATGAAACTACAGTAAGTCTCAATTATAGCAGGCCTAATTTTGGTGAATTTCTGTCAATACTGCAATATCACTGGTTTTTATTAGGGCATGAATAAGAGGTATGGAAAAAGATGTTCTTATCCTTATGATGATAATGTATAAGTTAATACTGCAGGCTAACTGAAAATCTGAAACAATTTTCATGACTGTTACAATGCAAATTTATCTGTAAGAGTGTAAAAGAGTATAACTGTATCTCTTTTTCAAATTGTCTCTGTAGGCATTAAAATTCAAAATATTGGTTAAAAACAAGAAAATAGGAACCTTAACAGAAACCCGTGGAAGGAAAGGTTCTAATAAGCATGGCCTGGTAGAAGAATTTGAAGAAGACGTGGATCAAGAAGATGACGAAGATGCAACATCTGATGTTTTTGCTTTAAAAAGCAGTCAAGGAAAGAAAGTAGAGGCTGAAAAGAAAAATCAAGAAAAGGAAGTAGAATCAGGTGGATTAACGCTTTTCAAAAAAAAGGTAAGATGTTGCTTTGTGAAAATCTTACAAATGATTGAAAAGTTTTCTAATTTTCTTCTTATTGTTGGAGAATTAAAAAGTTTTGTAGGGAAAAATCTTTTTTTTTTTGTCACTTATAACAGCACTAGTCAATTATTTACAATTTACTTTGAAAAAATTGGCAGTGCAGAAGATATTTTAAAAGTTGTTATCTCTTTTATTTTTTAAATTTTTTCCCTCTGTTGTGGTTGTTTTTAGGTGCTGTTGAATCAGTTCCGACTCATAGTGACCCTGTGTACAACGGAATGAAACAGTGCCTTGTCCTACACCATCCTCACTATGGTTGCTATGCTTGAGCCCATCATTGCAGCCACTATGTCAGTCCATCTCATTGGGGGTCTTCCTCCTTTTCACTCACCTTCAACTTTACCAAGTATGATGTCCTTCTCCAGGGACCAGTCCCTCCTGATAACATGTCCAAAGTACCTGAGACGAAGTCTCTCCATCCTCGCTTCTAAAGAGAATTCTGGCTGTACTTCTCCCAAGACAGATTTATTCATTCTTTCAGCAGTCAGTGGTGTATTCAATATTCTTCTCCAACACCATAATTCAAAGGCATCAATTCTTCGGTCTTCCTCATTCATTGTCTAGCTTTCACATGCATATTAGGTGATTGAAAACACCCTGACTTGAGTCAGGTGCAACTTAGTCCTCAAAGTGACATCTTTGCTTTTTAACACTTTGACGAGGTCTTTTGCAACAGATCTGCCCAATGCAATGTGTCATTTGATTTCTTCACTGCTTCTTCCATGAGTGTTGATCATGGATCTAAGAAAAATGAAATCTTTAACAACTTTAATCTTTTCTCCATTTGTCATGATGTTGCTTATTGGTCCTGTTGTGAGGACTTTTGTTTTCTTTATGTTGAGGTGTCATCCATCCTGAAGGCTGTGGTCTTTGATCTTCATCAGGAAGTGCTTCAGTCCTCTTAACTTTCAGTAAGCAAGACTGTGTAATCTGCATATTGCAGGTTGTTAATGAGTCTTCCTGCAATCCTGATGTTGAGTTCTTTTTCATTTAGTCCATCTACTCCAATTATTTGCTCGGCATGCAGATTGAATAAGTATTGTGAAAGGCTACAACCTGATGCACACCTTTCCTGATTTTAAACCACTCAGTATCCCCTTGGTCTGTTTGAACGGCTGCCTCTTATTCTATGTACAGGTTTCTCATGAGCATAATTAAGTGCTCTGGAATTCCCACTCTTTTTAATGTTATCCACCATTTGTTATGATCCACAGAGTTGAATACCTTTGCTTAGTCAATAAAACACAGTAAACGTTTTTCTAATATTCTCTGCTTTCAGCCAGGGTTCATATGACATCAGCAATAATATCGTTCATTCCACATCCCCTTGTGAATCCAGCTTAAACCTCCAGGAGTTCCTTGTTGATGTACTGCTGGAACCATTTCCCTCTATCGTTGACAGATATTTAATATGCCCTCTTATGTACTAGGCCCCCATGCATCTGTCAGTTTGTCATACTGTGGAGTCTTGAGTATTACTGTGATGATGGAAGCTATGCCACTGGTATTCTAATACCAGCAGAGTCACCCCTAGTGGACAGGTTTCAGCTGAGCTTCAGACTAAGACAGACTACGAAAAAGGACCTGGCAGTCTACTTCTGAAAGGAATTAGCCAGTGAAAACCTTATGAATAGCAGTGGAACATTGTATGATAGTGCTGGAAGATGAGCCCTTCAGGTTGGAAAGCACTCAAAAGACAACAGGGAAAGAGCTGCCTCCTTAAAGTAGGGTCTACCTTAACGACGTGGATGGAGTCAAGCTTTTGGGACCTTCGTTTGCTAATGTGGCACTACTCAAAATGAAAAAACAGCTGCAAACATCCGTTAATAATCGGAAAGTGGAATGTACGAAATATGAATCTAGGAAAATCGGAAATGATAAAAAATGAAATGGAATGCGTAAACATCGATATCCTAGGTATTAGTGAGCTGAAATGAACTGGTATTGGCCATTTTGAGCTGGACGATCGTATGGTCGACTACACTGGGAATGACAACCTGAAGAGGAATAGCATTGCACTCATCATCAAAAAGAGCATTTCAAGATCTAACCTGAAGTACAACACTGTCAATGATAAGACAATATCCATATGCTACAAGTAAGACCAGTTAATACAACTATTATTCAAATTTACACACCACTACTAAGGCCAAAGGTGAAGGAATTGAAGATTTTTACCAACTTCTGCAGTCTGAAATTGATTGAACATGCAATCAGGATGCATTTGAATTAATTGCTGGTGATTGGAATGTGATAATTGGAAACAAAGAAGAAGGATCGGTAGTTGTAAAATATGGCACTGGCGATAGAAACAATGCTAGAGATCGCAAGATAGAACTTTTGCAAGACCAATGACTTCTTCGCTGCAAATACCTTTTTTCAACAACAAAACAGTGACTATACACATGGACCTCGACAGATGGAATACACTGGAATCAAATTGACTACATGTGTGGAAAGAGACCATGGAAAATCTCAATATCATCAGTCAGAACAAGAACAGGGGCCGACTGCAGAGCAGACCGTCAATTGCTCATATGCAACTTCAAGCTGAAGCTGAAGAAAATTAGAACAAGTCCACGAGAGCCAAAGTATGACCTTGAGTATATTTCACCTGAATTTATAGACCACCTCAAAAATAGATTTGACACACTGAACACTAATGATCAAAGACCAGAAGAGTTGTGGAAAGACATCAAGGACATCATACATGAAGAAAGCAAGAGGTCATTAAAAATACAGAAGGAAAGAAAAGACCAAAATGGATGTCAGAAGAGACTCTGAAACTTGCTCTTGAACTTCAAGTAGCTAAAGCAAATGGAAGAAGTGATGAAATAAAAGAGCTGAACAGAAGAAGATTTCAAAGGGCGGCTGGAGAAGACAAAGTAAAGTATTATAATGACATGTACAAAGATCTGGAGTTAGAAAACCAATGGAGAAGGACACGCTCGGCATTTCTCAAGCTGAAACAGCTGAAGAAAAAATTCAAACCTCAAATTGCAATAGCGAAGGAGTCTATGGGCAAAATATTAAACGACACGGGAAGCATCAAAAGAAGATGGAAGGAATACACAGTCACTGTACCAAAAAGAATTGGTCAACGTTCAACCATTTCAGGAGGCAGCATATGATCAGGAACCTATGGTACTAAAAGAAGAGGTCCAAGCTGCACTGAAGGCATTGGCGATAAACAAGGGTACAGGAACTGATGGAATATCAGTTGAGATGTTTCAACCAATGAATGCAATGCTAGAAATGCTCACTTGTCTATGCCAAGAAATTTGGAAGACAGCTATCTGGCCAACCAACTTGATATTTATGCCTGTTCCCAGGAAATGTGATACAACTGTATGTGGAAATTATCAAACAATATCATTAGTATCACACGCAAGTAAAATGTTGCTGAAGATCATTCAAAAGAGTCTGTGGCAGTATATCAACAGGGAACTGCCAGAAATTCAGGCTGGATTCAGAAGAGGACCAGGAATGAGGGATATCATTGCTGATGTCAGATAGATCCTGGCTGAAAGCAGAGAATACCAGGAAGAGTTTTACCTGTGTTTTACTGACTATGCAAAGGCATTCGGCTATGTGGATCATAACAAGTAATGGATAACGTTGGGAAAAATGGGAATTCCAGAACACTTAACTGTACTCATGAGGAACCTGTATGTAGATCAAGAGGCAGTCATTTGAATAGAACAAGGGGATACTGCGTAGTTTAAAGTCAGGAAAGGCTTGTGTCATGGTTGTATCCTTTCACCATACTTATTCAGTCTGTATGCTGAGCAAATAATCTGAGAAGCTGCACTGTATGAAGAACGGGGCATCAGGATTGGAGGAAGACTCATGAACAACCTGCATTATGCAGATGGCACAACCTTGCTGGCTGAAAGTGAAGAGGAGTTGAAGCACTTACTGATGAAGATCAAAGACCACAGCCTTCAGTATGGACTACACCTCAACATAAAGAAAACAAAAATCCTCACAACTGGACCTATAAGAAACATCATGATAAATGGAGAAAAGATTGACATTTTTAAGTATTTCGTTTTTCTTGGATCCACAATCAGTACCCTTGGAAGCAGTGGTCAAGAAATAAAACAACACATTGCATTGGGCAAATCTGCTGCAAAAGACTTATTTCAAGTGTTGGAAAGCAAAGATGTCACCTTGAAGACTAAGGTGCACCTGACCTAAGCCAAGGTTTTTTCAATCGCCTCATATGCATGTGAAAGCTGGATAATGAATAAAGAAGACTGAAGAAGAATTGACACCTTTGAATTAGGATGTTCAGAAGAATATAGAATACACCACGGACTGCTGAAAGAATGAACAAATCTGTCTTGGAAGAAGGACAGACAGAATGTTCCTTAGAAGCAAGGATGGTGAGACTTTGTCTCACATACTTTGGATATGTTATCAGGAGAGATCAGTCCCCAGAGAAAAGACTTTATGCTTGGTAAAGCAGAGGGTCAATGAAAAAGATGAAGACCCTCAAGGAGATGGATTGACACAGAGGCTGCAACAATGGGCTCAAACATAACAACAGTTGTCGAGATTGGTGCAGGATCCGGCGGTGTTTGGCCCTGTGGTACATAGGGTTGCCATTAGTTGGAACCGACTTGATGGCACCTGACAACAACAGCTTGTAGTAGGCATTGTGCGGTGTACAAAAGATACGCAGATTTAAAACATAATGTTTCTACCCTCAAAATCATACCAGCAGAGACATACAAGGAAATCCGTGTCTATAATATATAGCATTGTTGTTATTGCTGGAGTCCATTGAGTTGCTTCTGACTCATAGCAACCCTATGTATAGTAGAACATCACGTACTAATATATAGTATTATGGGTATACAAATCAGTGTGACAAAAGAAGGCATATTAGGTTGCATGTTACACAAAACCAATCCAGCTGGTTTAAGTAAAATGGGAACCATTTGGCCCATGTAAATGAAAAGTTGAAGGAAAGTGTTTCTAACTTTAGACATGACTTAGTGTAGTGTCTCAAGCAAGGTGAACAGAACTTTATTTCCTTCTCCAACTTTTAGCTCCACTTTGTCTGTATTGGTGGCAAGATTGTTGCAAAAGCTTCAGGTTTATATCTTTTCGGATTCAAACCCAGTGGAATACCTATCTATCAACTAGCAGACCCAACACATTTTTATTGTGCATTGGTTATGAATCAGTTCTGTGCACATCCCTGAACTAATTACTATTAGTAGGGGAATACAAAGCTCTCCTTAAAAAAACCAAAAAAGCAAACCTGTTGCGGTCGAGTCGATTCCAACTCATAGGACCCTATAGGAGAGAGTAGAACTGCCACATAGGGTTTCCAAGGAGTGCCTGGTGGATTCAAATTACTAACCTTTTGGTTAGCAGCCATAACGCTTAACGACTACGCCACCAGGGTTTCCAAGCTCTCATTAGCCAGGCTTAATCTGCAGGGTCCATCCCTACGTACATGGATTGAGCGTGAGTAAGGAGTGCTTCCCTAAAACAAAACTTGGGAAGTGGTTAACAAAAGTGTAGAGGAAATAGTTGCTGGGCTGCAATAAAGCAGATTCCACTATGTAATAGAAACAATTCCTCAAATTTAGATAAAACTGGAAATGTACTTACTCATGATTAAAATTCTTAAATTTATATAATTCATGAGGATAAACAGATCTTTGGGAAAAACGAAATAGCGATAATTATCCTCAGTACTTAATATGTTAATTTGGGTTGTAGATTTATGCTATCTCATATTAACATCAAATACTGTAGTCATAAAAAATAATCACAATGACTTGATCCAAAAGTTTTTGAGGAGACAGTCTTATGAAAAGACTAAAATCACTGCTTTGAAAACATAGTTTCTTTACTGGAAAAAGAATTTTTCAAATGATTAGTGCCAAAATGTGAAATTACTGCACTACATTTTTAGACCTCGAAGATGAAAATGGCTCTGGCCCTATCAGATCTTGTCATTTACACTAAAGCTGAGAAGTTCAGAAGCTTTGAACATTCAAGAATACATCAGCAATTTAATGAAAATAATTCTATAGGGGAGTCACAAGCCCGAAAACTTTCAAAGCTGAGAGGTAAATTCTTATGATTCTAATAGATAAAGTTTTCAAACAAGTTATATTCACTGCAAAGGTATCAAGATTGGTCAATGATATTTATCTCATAAAATTTTAATATATTTAATGGAATTTTAAAAGGAATTATATGCCTCAGGTTGCATTAAGTTCTAGCTGGAAGAACTTGTCCTTTAACTGCTTTAAGGCATGAAATTCTGATTGAGGATGCTGAGTACGGAGACTTAGATGGGGCTGTGGTGAGTGCTTTATAGAAGAGAGCCGTGATGACAAGGCAGAGCCAAAGTTAAAAAAAAAAATGCTATTGAGTGGATTCTGACTCATGGAGACACCATGTGTGTCAGAGTAGAACTGTGCTTCACAGGGTCTTCAGTGGCGGATTTTTCAGAAGTAGATAGGCAAGCCCTTCTTCCGAGGCACCTCTGGGTGTACTCCAACCTCCAACTTTTTTGTTAGCTGTGAACATGTTAACAGCTTGTACCACATGGCAGCATAAGGGTGAGACTGCAGGCAGGGAGGGGAGGGTAAAGGCTTTTGGCAGTGACTGTAGAGATGCAGTGGTTAAACTTGGCTGCTAACCGAAAGGTAGGCAGTTCTAATCCACCAGCCACTCCTTGGAAACCCTATGGGGCAGTTCTACTCTGTCCTGTAGGGTAACGGTGAATCAGAATTGACTTGATGGCAACGGGTTTGTGTGTGTGTGTGTGTGTGTGTGTTGTGGAGACATGGTGAATTTTATGGATTCAGCAGGCATCCTAAGAGGCAGAGTTCATTAGTCCTGTGTTGTTGTGTGCCGTTGAGTTGATTCTGACTCATAGCAACCCCATGTGATAGAGTAGAACTGCCCCATAGGGTTTTCTAAGGAGCTCTGGTGGTGCAGTGGTTAAACACTCAGGTGCTAACCAGAAGGTCAGCAGTTCTAACCCACCAGCTTCTCCTGAAAGATGTGGCAGTCTGCTTCTGTAAAGATTACAGCCTTGGAAACCCTATGGGACAGTTCTCCTCTGTCCTATAGGGTCACTATGAGTCACGATTGACGCAACGGCAACGGGTTTGGTTTTTTTTTTTTAATCTTTACAGGAGCAAATTAACAGGCCTTCTTCCCACAGAGCTGATGGCTGTTTCCGTTAGCAGCTGAGTGCTTAACTGTAGTGCCCCCAGGGCTCCTTTCATTAAACCTAGAGGCTGTATATCTAAGGTGAAGGAGTGGGAGGAAATAGCATGTAGACCAGGACACCAGATGGCCGTGCAGAGCCTGCACTGCACTTCTCCCTGGGGTAGTATTCTGTCTCTGAATCTTCTCTTCATTCTCTTCTGGTTCTAAATTTGAGACAGATAGAGGCCAAGATGGAACAAGGCCTGGGAAAGAAAATGGGAAGCAGATCCTATCCCTTTCGTGGACTCATGTGCTGAAGAATATCCCATACATGAAAAGAGATGATCAACGAACTCATCAGTGATTCCAAAATCCCTCTTAAAAAATTACCATCTACCATTAGTATTTCTGTGTAGAAACACCGAGGCAGGAAAATAAGCACCTGCAACCAACTTTAGAAAAGCTGTTGGCTCTTTGGAAGTGCAGATTCTGGTATACTTGTTCGTTAACTTCATGGGCTGGCAACTGTGCCCAGGAGTTTTGAGGTATACCTTAACTCATCTCCTCAAACTCTTTTAGAGATCCTGCATATTTTAAGCCTGCCCCTCCCCACTGTTTAAAAATTTTATACTGTGGATGGTGACCAAAAGTCAATTCAGTAGTCCTGAGCCACAGTTAAAATAGTAGAATAGTATGGAATAGAATAGAATGGGTTGTATGCAAGAAGAATAAGTATTGTTTTATGAAACAAGTGTGTGTGTGTGAGTGTGTGTGTGTGTGTGTGTGTGTGTTGGGTTGCGATGTAAAATGTATTTCTTACTGTGGGATGTGGTCAAGAGAGTTTGAATGACCTTCTTTACAGGCCTCTGTTCCTTGAAACTATGGAAGACTTTTGTTGTTGTTCATGAGGACAGGACCTCTGACCACAGCAAAAATAGTTATTATTCTCCCATTCTTAATTTTATTAAATACTTCCACAAAGTTTGAAGAGATTGGGTAGTTCATATATATGTATACACGCACACATACACACAAAAAAAGAGTGGAAAGATGTATACCAAGCGGTTGTCAGTGGTTATTACCGAATAATGAGATTATATATGGTTTTCTTTCTTTTTCGGTTTTCTCCTTTTTCTAAAATGAACATGAACTGCATTTGTAGGAACAAAACATATTAAACTAAAAAGCAAGAAAATCACTTTTTGTTAAGGGTCCTTAGAGATCATTCACGGTTATCACTTTATAGATGGAAAAATTAAGATCCCAAAGAGTAAGTGTTTTACCTAAGGACAGGCATCTAGTTTATGGCTGAATAAGAGAGCATAATACTTGGACAGCATGCTGCATTTATACATGAATAACTTGAAAATAAACTTTCTCTTGAGGAGTGCATAACTTTTTATGTGTCGATGCAGTTAATTGCAATTTTTTACATGGCAGTGGTTCCCAAAGAGTAGTATTTAGGGTGAGAGAGGCAATGGTTCTGTTCTAGTTTGATTAGAACTCATAGTGGGTCATAGGCAAAAAACCATTTTTGCCATGACTGGTCACCGTGTTAGCAGGAATGGTTGTGGGAACAGGATGTGCTCAGTGCAAGGAGAAAAGCCTTGGAGAGACATAAAGTCTGTGTTCAAAAATTTGATGGAGTGTCCAATGGCGAATGTTATATACCACTTTTGAACCTCAGGTAATTTAAATAGGATACAAATAAGTATAAATTTGTAAATACAATCTAGAGATTTAAATAGACTATATATAAAAAAGCTGTTGCCCTCGAGTCGATTTTGACTCATAGCAACCCTATAGGACTGAGTAGAACAACCTATAGGGTTTCCAAGGAGCGCCTGGTAGATTCAAACTGCTGACCTTTTGGTTAGCAGCTGAACTCTTAACCTCTATGCCACCAGGGTTTCCAGACTGTATATACACATGTATGTGTATATATATATATATGTGGGTGTGTGTATGTGTACATATGTATGTGTGTATGCATGCATGTATGTATATATACTACAAGTACATAGATCTTGTCTTGGTAAGGAAGACCTTTGAAATAATTAGAGGTATTGGGAGGTAGTGAGTTCTCTTTCAACCAAGGGATGCCAACAAAGATTGAACAAATTCTTGAGGAAGACATTGGAGTGGGGGGCTGGTGACTGAACTGGATAACTTTAAGTCTCCTTTCAACTCTGAGAATCTGTGAAATATTCAACCTGGTTAATTTGGTTAGCATTATATAGCTTCATATCACTTACATGGGATTCTGCCCTAAAATGAAAGTCAAACTAAAAAGAACAAAATAGGGGAAATATGCTACTATTGTTTTGAAGAAGAATGAGGATACTTTATTTTGGAATTTTATATATTCTTAAAGTGAAATGAATTCGGATGTGGAAAAAAAGAAATATAAATTTCGAATCCATTGCATCTCAAGTGAATTATCAGAATACCTAAATTGTGTTTTAAAATTATTAACTCTTCACTAACAGTGAATTACACTGTCAAACTTAGAGGCATGGATTTATTTTGATTTCCATGAATTGCAAATATTGTTGCTAAGATAATACGTAACAAAATTATTGAAATTATTATAAAACCAAAGCCCAACCCATTGTCGTCAAGTCAATTCCGACTCATAGTGACCCAATAGGGCAGAGTAGAACTGCCCCATATTGTTTCCAAGAAGCGGCTGGTGGATTTGAACCGCCAACCTTTTGGTTAGCAGCCGAGATCCTAACCTCTGTACCACCAGGGACTCATAGATAATATGTAGAAACAGTGGCCAATTTAATTTTTATTTGAACAATTTATTAATGTTTTAATTTTTTTTAGCAAAAGAATTTATTTTTCACACCAGGAATTTCATTACCAGAATATATCCTAAAGCAACGAGAACGGACTCTTCTAATTTCAATCCTCAGGAATTCTGGAATATAGGTTGTCAGATGGGTATGTTATATAAAATATTGAGTTGTTTTCAAAAGTAAGATAAAATAAATTCCTTTAAAAAAATTTTTTTAACACACTTGTAAAAGAACTTCCTATGAAGGTTTTTGGCTCTGGGTCTACTGGGGCTAGGCATTGATAGTGAACCATTGGTTTCAAGAGTTGAGCTCATTTCTAAATGGCTTGGAAGAGTTAAATCTAGGTGAAGGTTGAGGATGTGGAGGTTAAATTCATGAGGGGTTAGTATGAGGCATGTATGTTGAAAAAACGGAAAAGGAAACCAAAAATAATGGTAAACGGACACTGAAGATCAAGTTCCTTTGTTCGAAAGATTTGCTAAAGTCCTCTGCAAATCATGTCACCTCTACCTTTTATACTTTACACTAGCTTCTACATTCATACGTGGTACAACCTGGATGAACCTTGAAAGTATTAAGCTGAGTAAAATTAAGTCAGTCACAAAAGGACAAATATTGTATGACCCCACTTATATGAAATATCTAGAAGAGGCAACTGTATAGAGACCAAAGTTATTAGTGGTTACCAGGCGCAGGTAGGAGAGAGAAAGGGGGATTCAATGCTTAGGGGAAGCTGAGCTTCTGTTAAGGGTGATGGAAAAATTTGGGAACTGATAGTGGTGAGGTTGAACGACAAGATGAACACAATGTCATGGAACTGTACATGCAAAGATTGTTAAAATGTCAAATGCTTTGTTACATATATATTTACCACAATTAAAAAAAAAATAGTGAATGAGATTACATGCTTTGTTCTTTGTCCTCACCAGACTCCCCCTATTCCAAATTGAACAGCTGATATAGTACTGGCACAAACCAGTCAGAAAGTGCTAGTTGTGAACTCTTCTGCTACTGAATTGTGGCAAGGCCCAGAGGTGAACTGGGGCCAGGTTGGAGGGCGGGGCATGGTACCAAATGCAGTGGCCATTTACCAGCCCATATGGAGGTATTTCCATATTTTAACAACCAGTATTGCTCTGCTCATTTCTCACTTTCTCCTCAAGTGACAGCAGTACCTCTTTGGACCTGAAAGAGTAAGATGTAGTTGGTATGTTCTCTTTCCTCCATTTAATGTACTGATTTCCTTTATTTTCATATTTTTTAGTTTATCTGACAGGTACATTGCTAGTTTGTAATCTGTACTGTGTGTCATTTTGATTTTTTATTCAAAGCTATAAAATAATTTTATTTTGGATTAAATTTTGAATCTCACTTTCATCAGCATATGAGGAAAATGTTTAAAAATCATGACTTATTAGGCTAAGAGCATTTTAGAACATTTAGAAGATAGATAACCTAGGGTTAGATTTCAGTGAATTGTTTAACTGTTTGTTTCTTTAGCTGTACTCTCTATTTCCTGAAAATGTCAAAATAATTTTTCTCACAGTGGCCTTAAATTTCCAGACCCCTGGTCTGCCTATGGACCTACAAAATGGAAAATTTTTGGACAATGGTGGTTCTGGGTATATTTTGAAACCACAATTCCTAAGACAGAGTAAATCAAACTTTAATTCAAATGAAGCATTGAAAAACAGTAAACCAATTACACTTACAATAAGGGTAAGTTTAATAACATCTTTTTCTTGTACTTTTATTTTGTTAGTATATAAGCTAGAAAATGTAAATTCATATTTTGAGTTCCATTGATTTCCCTTAATGCTTTTTAAATTTTGTTAATCTTTTCAGGTACTACAAAAAACTCAAACAAAACCTGTTGCCATAGAGTCGATTCTGACTCATAGTGACCCTATAGGGCAGAGTAGAACTGTTTCCAAGGAGTGGCTGGTGAATTTGAACTGCCAACCTTTTGGTTAGCAGCCAAACTCTTAACCACTATGCCAGTAGCATTTCAGCATCCTTCCATGTCTGAAAATGTTTTTCTGTTGCCTTATCGCATGAATGGATATTGCCCGTGGATAGAAATATTGGCACTAAGACCTTCTCCTTTCAAATATCTATTTTGTATTATTCCATTGCTGTTTAGCATTTAATATCGTGATAGAGAAGTCTGAGTCCAGTCCAATAATTATTATGTGATTATCCTGCTTTTTTTCCCTTCAACTTTAAAGAATTTTACCAATAAATTCTAGAAGCTATTTTCTTTCACTAATCTCCAGAATTAGCTTTTGTAGTCTCTGAATATAATTTGCTCGTTTGGAAATCATAATTATCCATGGTTTTCTCCGGGATCTAACCTCTGTGTCTACCTTTTTGTGTCAACTTTATCACTTTCTTTTTTCCTCTGCATTTTGAGAGAGCTTTTAACATTTTTTTCCATCTACACTGATGATTCAAGATCTGTAGCTGATTTTATTCTTTACTGATTCTAGTGTAGATTTGAAATTTTCTCTTGTATGATTAGTTCCCTCCCACCCCAATTGTTATTTACCTCATATTGCTTCTTCTATATTTCTGTCTGTGTCATATCCAGCAACCCTTCCCCCGGGGTATTTTCTTATTATTTCATCTTTTGTTTTATTACATGTTTGGGTAATTTCATTGAGAGCAAAAGCAGTTGTCTAAACTATATTGTTTTTACTAGTCAAGACTTTTCAAAAGCTTTCTTATTCTTCTATATCCTAAACGTTCCATTTATTTTCTTTTTAAAAAAATGTTACTGAAAAGCCCCTAATTGTTTTTCTCTCCATTGAATTATTGTTGTGCTGTTGTTAGGTGCCATTGAGTTGGTTCTGACTCACAGTGACCCTACGTACAATAGAAAGAAACACTGCCCGGTCCTGCCCCATCCTCACAATCACTGTTATGCTTGAGCCCATTGTTGCAGCCACTGTGTCACTCCATCTTGCTGAGAGTTCTCCTTTTTTTTCAATGACTCTCTACTTTACCAAGTAGTCCTATTTTAAACTGTTTATATACCTGTGGTTTGCAAATCAGTAGGATGGATATGGTCTTGCTGGTCTGTTTTTCTATTTAAGTAGATGTTGCTAGGACCATATAAACCATCTCAGACCCTATTCTGGATGTTTGGTAAATACTTATATTGCTGCCCCTGGCCAGGTTTATTGTGTCTCGTAGGTATTACCTTGTGTAGCTCTGCTGGTTCTGCTGGCTGGTGAGTGCTCTGCTCTCATTACCTGGCTGTCTGAGAGTACGCGTAAAGCTAGAACCTCCCCCCACTCCCCACCCCACCGCCATGTGTGGTTCTTTCCTCCTGTCTCAGCTCCTTCCACCTGTCATAACATCACAGGATCTGAGGAACCATTCACATCCATTTCAGCAGGACCTCACCATTTTATCTCAGCCAAATAAGGAGGCTTGGGAACCATATTCCAGAAGTTAAAGTGGAAAGAGAGTACAGAAAAGACAATGGGACGGGAAAGATCCTGGCCACTGCAGGAAACAGCTCCAGTGGAGCATGTAGGTGACTTTTCTCCTGGCTGTTAAGGATTTTGTGACTCCAAAGTACAAGCATATAGTGGATGAATAGAAATTGCCTACAACACTACATCCAGCCAAAAATGTATTACTTGGCATTCATTTGAGCATCTGCAAAGTACTGGCCATTAAGCTTACTTTACAATGTTATTAAAACTTTGGCATCCTTTTGTGCTTTCTAACAGTTCTTCTAGTGAGAAGAAGAGGCAAATCAGCCACTCTGGGAGATCTCTCTCCACTCCACACAGATCTCTTGCTGTGCTTCTGTGATTGTTCTTTCTGTTTTTAAATGTACTTCCCAAGCTACGTCCTCCTCGTTTCCTTTTGTTTCTCTTTCTCTACCTGCTCCTGAGGTACTTACATTGTGTAAGGCTTTCTTCTTAACCCTTGTCTCAAACTAAATGTTCACCTTGGGTTGTTTTATACACACGCACGGCTTTAACCACCATGTATACACCAACAATGCTCACATTTTAATGGGCCCTCACTTTTGAGATCAGTCTGCCTAGCATTTCTATTTAATCACCATCATGTCAAACTTAAAATATTAAAAACTGGAGACTTCTGGTTTCTAGTCTGACATGTAAAGAGCTTGGAAGTTGCTACTTTCATCCTCAAAACAAGAAAAAAATCTGAAAAACAATAGCAACAACAACTACAACAAAAACCCCTGTAAATTAGCAACTCTTCTGAGATCAGACAACTGAAGTCACAGAAAAAAATGGCTGCCCTGAAAAGCGGAAAGACAGGCAGATACTGTGAATCACAGTTTACCGAGAGCAGAAACCCAGAAGCAAAAGCCTGAAGCTGGGGCCAGTGACAGAAGTAACATTTAAACTGTAACTGACGAAATGTTGGAGGCTCTGTGTGGACTAGCTTGAGAGTTAAGAATTCTTGGGGGTGGAGGGCAGGTGCTGGTACTCTTAGGGGAACCAGCACACTTTTGTAAATTTTACCTCCAGGAGCACCATCAAGTTCTCCGAGTGAAGACTGGAGAAAAATCCCCTTCTATTTCTGGCAAAGAGCCCTGAGTGGCACAATGTTTAAGTGCTCAGCTGCTAACCAAAATGTCGGCTGTTGGGATCCATTAACCACTCCGAGAGTAAAGACCTGGCAATCTGCTTCTGTAAAGATTACAGCCTAGGAAACCCTATGGGGTAATGCTGCTCTGTCCTATAGGGTCTCTATGAGTCGGAATCTCCTCAACAGCACGCTACACAAGAACATTTCTGGCAAGGAGCGGGGGAAAGTGGCCATTCTGAAATACACCCAGACCAGTCTTTTCTCCTTTACAAGGTCTGGCCTCTATAGAGACTATTTTATCTTTGCCTAATCAGTTTGGGTTTACCAAAGCCTAAGCAACCTGGGGGAAGGGAAAACCCCATCTCTAGCTTCCTCTAGCTTTCCTGCCTTCACCTAAGAGGGAGATGGGATTCTGAGGAGCACTTGTGAAGGTCACAGCTCAGGGATACAAGCACACTTAAAGACTGAGATGTAATCATTAGATGTTGGAATGTATCCGCCCCCCAACCCCCCACCCCATACCTTATTGCCACATCATTAGGTTTCCTGTACAATAACAAGGGATTACAGCTGAAAGAACTGCAAGCCTCAGACTCTATTTAAGAAGGAGTCTCTTGGGAAATGCAAGGCAACAGGGGAGATAAAAACAAGGACACTAGAGGAAATTTTATCTTCTGATACCACAGCTACAGCAAACAATAAACATAGCCTAGCCTCATGCCAGAGGTTTATTTACCTCAGTTCAATACATCATGTCTGGCTTTCAAAAAAATTATCAGGTATGCTAAAAGGCAAAAAACAAACAAAACCCTACACTGTCTGAAAAGGCAAATAAAGCATTAGAACCAGACTCAGATATGGCTAAGATTTTGGAATTATTAGGTAGGGAATTTAAAATAACTATGACTGATATGCTACAACTTCTAGAAGATAACATAAGCAAAAATCTAAGTGGCCTTGGGTTTGCCGATGACTTTCTAAATACAACACCAAATGCATGATTCATGAAAGAAAAAATTGATAGGCTGAACTTCATCGAAATTTTAAATAATTCTGTTCTGTGGAAGACACTGTTAGAGAGAATGAAAAGACAAGCCATGGACTGGGAGAAAATATCTGAAAAACATCTGATGAAGGACTTGTGCCCGAAACATACAAAGAACTCTTTCTTCCTTTTTCCTTTTCTTGCTTCCTTCCTTCTTTATTTTCAAACTTAATTGTTTATTCGTTCTTCTTATTATAACCTCAAGACATTGATTTTTTTTTATAACTGCATTTTTAAGCTTAACGCTTTCGTTTCTTGCCCTGAAATTAGTACATTTCAAATATTGTTTTTTTGTGCTCACTTTGTTCCTTAAAGTAAAACAAATCTTTGCTTGAACAATTAGCTTGGCTAAAGGCTAGGTGGAAATATTATTAATCAATTTGTTAAATATTCTTCTGATATTCAGACCTGAATGTACATATGAAATAATTGATTTTGTCAGATTCAGGTTACTTTTCATGATAATATTGAAAATAATGGATTGTATAAAATTTCATGATAAATCATTCAAACATAAATTCTACTATCAGGAAATGCTGTCATTGGAAATTGTTTTGTTTTTAACATTTGAGGAGTAGTATTCATATTGTTTCCAATCTTTTGCTATTTAAACATAAGATGAACTTGAAACTGGTACGTGTTATCATCCTGAATTACAGTAAAAGTTGATCATAACAAATGCTTTTAAAATATATGTTAATGAATCATAAATCTTAAACAATGTGGATTCCACTCTATTCACATATCAGTAAAATGGAATAATTTAGACATGCTCTTTGTATTTATGTAGTGAAACATGAGGATAAAAGAGTTAAATTTTAAAATTTGCATTTTTTTCCAGCTTCAATATTTGTGGAAACTGACTTAGAGTCTATCAACCTTTTTTGAATAGATATTTCCATTTTGAATTTAAGTGGTAATGCAGTTTAATATTTCGCTAAATTCTTTTATTAATAATTTATTTGTGCAGCTCATCAGTGGTATCCAGCTGCCTCTTAGTAATCTCTCATCACCCAAGAAAGCTGACACACTAGCAATAATAGAAATTTATGGTGTTCCAGACGATCAAATGAAACAGCAGACTCGGGCAATTAAAAAAAATGGTGAGCTCCTAATACATTTTGGTGAACTTCTATTAGACTTCTTGTTGGAAAACTTATGATACACTTTTTATACATTTTTATTGTTTATAAGGTAAAGATTTTGCTTTATGTTCTAAGATTACTAAAGTGTTATACACATGTGTTAGTTATCTAGTACTGCTGGAACAGAAATACCACAAGTGGATGGCTTTAACAAACAGAAATTTATTTTCTCACCGTTTAGGAGGCTAGAAGTCTGGATTCAGGATGCCAGCTCTAGGGGAAAGCTTTCTCTCTGTGTTGGCTCTGGAGGAAGGTCCTTGTCTCTTCTGAGCTTCTGCTCCTGGGCAATCTTTTTGTAGCTTGGCATCTGTCTTCTCCCAATGCTGTTTCTCTCCCTTGCCTGTTTAATCTCTTTTATATCTCAAAAGAGGTCGATTTAAAACACCTTGTACACTAATCCTGTCTCGTTAACATAGCAGACAACCCATTCCCAAATGGAATTATAACCACAGGCATAGCGAATAGAATTTACAACACATATTTTTGGGGGACACAATTCAATCCATAATGCACAGTAAAAACAATTTGGCAATCATTTAAAATGTTGTTTAGGTATATTTTCAGATTATGAATACATTTTCAGATTATGACCTGCAAAATTACTACCTTTTGCCTTTTTATGCTTTCACCTATATCACTGAATTAAAAGAGATATTTTGGCTGCTGAAAATCTACCTAGCTTCTAGCCTCTGCGTAAAATTAAAAAAAAGACATTGTGATTGTTCCGACATAGCATCTTTCACATCTTTACCTCACCCCTTGAGTTATTTTAGATCAAAGGTCTGCAGCTTCCGACTGAGCAAGGATGCCACAGAAACCTATTCATCCAATGTTTGGATTCATAATTCAGTCATTTTTGCCAGAAGAGAAGTCTAGGAATGGAAGAAATGGCTTTGATAAGATTTTCAGGGTTTCAGCATTCCATGACATTTATGTAATAAGAGTGATGGCATTGTCATTTAACACTAAGGAAATTAGAAAAGGATAGGTTGCTAAGATTGACCCTTAGAATCACCTTGGAGGAGACCTGGAACTGATGCTGGAGTCTGGAATATTCTTTGCGTGGATATTCCCATAGTATAGTAGGCTTTCTTTCAGAGTCTGGAATTATGCTCCAGGCCTAACTGGCACTGACAGAGGAGCAAGTGGAGTTTTATTGGTCTTTCTCTTCTTGTGCAATAATTCCCACCGAAGTCATTGGTCTGCCTTTCTGCTTCCTGACTATGCTTCCAGCATGGTCTCTAGTGCTAAAGACATGGGAAAAGATTTGGGAAATTTTTGCAACCTCATACCATGTTATCAATGGAAAGGAATACTGGTAGTGACTGTGACTTATTGCCTTATTTGGCACCTCTTAGAGTTGGAGGAAGGAGCCATGGTGGCACAATGGTTAAGTACTCGGCTGCTAGCCGAAAGGTTGGCAGTTCAAACCTACCCAATGGCTCCATGGCAGGAAAGATCTGCTGATCTGCTCCCATAAAGATTGCAGCCTCGGAGAAACCCTATGGGGCAGTTCTACTCTGTCATATAGGGTTGCTATGAGTCGGAATAAACTCAATGGCAAACAACAACAGAGTTGAGGGCACATTGTGATGGTATTATCAAGAAATAGTAACTGCTAATGTCTGGAAACTTACAGTACCCTACCTCTTGTTCCCTTCATCCCTACTTGAATCTTTAGGGCAATATACACAGAATCTCTATTTATTCAATGCACCCATTATACTACTATGATTCCAGCTCACATTAGACTTTTGATTACATCCCCAGGTTCTACGGGAATATCCCTGCAGAAATTCAGTTTAGTTCATCAAACATTGTTGTGCCCCTGCTATGCTAAAAAATATGGTGATAAATATCAAGAGACTTAAAATCTCTATTTATTATTGATTTATTATTATGCTTGCTCCAACTAACTACATTGTAGATAGTTTACATTTCAATACAGAAGATGAGCTACAAGTAAACCTATTATGACATAGAATCTGGTTAGTGTTTTAAGGAAAGTACAAAGAACTTTTGTGAAAGGAGCAAATTTGGAGATGGTACTTGAAGAATGAGTAGGATTTTAACAGAGATTTGGGATAAGGGCATTTAAGGCAAAAGAAAAAATATGAATGTCATAGTGTGCTGAAGACAAAATTCAAACATGCTAGGGAAAAGTCAAGAAGTTCAAAATGGGTGAAATATATGGTATTTAAGGAAGATTTATGTGACATAAAATGAGAAAAGTATATTAGGAATGGTCGGTATAGCCATGCTAAGATGTTAGGAAATTTCTTTTCTGTAGAAAATGAATAAATTAAGACTTTTAAGCTGGGAGATAACAATAACAGAGTTGAGCTTTAGGGAGATTGTTTCTGCATATTAGGTAGGAAGAAGTGTATGAGAGGTAAATGAGAAATACAAAGTAGAGTCAAGATATGATTTCAATAGTTAGAGGATGTAGAAGTCAGGTCTTGAAGAAGGAGGTGGCACTAGAAGAGGAATGGGTGATGTATGTGAGAAACACTATGCAGGAGTAAAAGTCTAAATAGTTGGACAAGACGGACAGCTTAGAAGTCTAGTAGCTTGGCTTCTAGGGTAATGATGGTATAATTAAATACATGAGAGCCTGGGACAGAAAGGATCACATATGCATAAGGTGCAGAAGAAGTTCTTCAGTTTTGGTCATACTAGGGAAAATCATACTCATAACTCTCAAATTTTGGTATCCTGGTTTACTTCTTTTATTTATTTATTTTTCTAAATTTTATTTTGTTGCCGTTGTCGAGAATATACACAGCCAAACATACACCAACTCAATAGTTTCTACATGTACAATATAGTGATATTGCTTACATTCTTTGAGTTGTGCAACCATTCTCACCCTCCTTTTCTGAGTTGTTCCTCCTTCATTAACATGAACGCAATGCCCTCTAAGGTTCCTATCTAATTTTTCGAGGTGCTGTTGTCAATTTTATCTCGTATAGACCATTCTTAATAGAGCATGGTGCTCAAGGCAGACCTTTTTTACTAGTTAAGCTAAACTACTGTTCAGTTTTAAGGTGACTTCAGGGGATTTTTATTTATTTATTTATTTATTTATTTATTTATTTAATTGTACTTCAGGCGAA